ATGCAAATATTCTTATTTTCAAAGTTAATTTAATGCCTTAATACTTGATATATGTAAAATAGGGTAATTATACATCTAGCCTTTAGAGTTATATATAAGTATTAAATATAATTTCTAAAATGGAATTAAGTTGAGAATTTATGACAAAATCACACGCAAATCGGTGTAATTAATGTTAATTTATCCTCAATATTTTATTTTTAAGCTTCTAAGGGGCTAAGGGCTATCTGTTTATTATTTTCCATATAAAATATAATCATTGTTTTTCATTATCTTATTTTTCTTTTTAACTTTGTAAAACCACCAAGGCATCAAACATAATCTTCTTTTGGGAATGGATAGAGCAATTGGATGCAAAAAATTTAAGTGTGAATTTATTACAACTAGTTTTGTGCCCCGTGCGATGCCCGGGTTGTTTATTGAAGGTAAAATTTTAATCTATGTGTCAAATTTTTAAACATATCATTGATACAAAATTAGTTAGGAATTGATGTGCTTTTATGACAATTTGCTATATTTTAGAAAAAAAAATTTAACAAAATTATAATTCAATTTGTACCTCTGAAATATTGGTATTTTATTGAAAATAAAACTCTAAACTAACAATTTTATCCTAAAATTATATCCAAATAGAATTTTAAATTAACTTTTTAATCATCTATTTAAATCCATCCAACGTTGCGCGACACTTGGCGAAAAGTGAAACGCCAAGTGTCAATGCCTCGTGACCTGGCTAAAAGTTTAGCTATATATATTAGTTATATGATATGATGTGCGATGATGTTGAATTATTAAGGTGTTTTATTTATTCTTTTATTTTTTTTATTTTTTGAAAGCATGAATTATTAAGTAGCATTTGGGTGTTTTTTTTTCTCTTATTTTCCAGATTTTAAGAAAAGTACTTTCGAATTAATTATTAACTCGCTTACATTGAATCTATTGAGAATTTGAAGTATTGAATGAATTATGATATGGATTACAAAATATTACTTGCATTTAAAAATGAGTAATTTTCCATTCGTTCCTTTTTATATGCCACATTTGGTATTATGCACTCTGATTAAGGATGATGCAGATCAAAGGCATTAAGGCATCATAGTTATTGAAATTTTAATTACTTTCTTTAATTTTGCTCGAGTCATCTATTAACTATGAGATTGAGTGGTGTCAATCCAAAAGTTATGCATGGTTAAAAGATTGTTTATTTTTGTAATTAATTAGTCCTTTATGTAATTAAATTAGTAAACGAAAATATGCATTTTTATCTTTTAAAAATATATAATTAAATCCTTTTTTGGCATTTTTTTAATTTAAAACCAAAAGCCAAAAACAGTTTTGAAGAAAAAGGTGTTTCCACTTTTTTTTGTCAGTTTTTCAAATTTTTATGATTTTATTAAGTTTGACCAATTTTTAATTCATTATGAAATATTTTTTTTAAAAAAAAAACTAAATAACAAAACCACAGTGATACCAAATAAACCCTAAGATTTCACTTTATTATAATTATAATTATAATAATTAATTATTATTATTATTATTATTATTATTTTGTTTTAGAATCATAGTTAGAGGATTCATAGTTGGCAATTGGCATGTGATGTATGCCTCATAAGTATGTTTATTTTCATTAGTAAAATTTGGAAATTAATTGATTTGAAATTTATAAAGTTTTAAATAAGCTTGTGTGTATGCATTCTTAGGAGTTGTTCTCTCCAGCTTAATTTCAGTTCAATTCAGTTTAGTTCAGTTCAGTTCCCAATTTAATTTCCTTTTCTCATAAATGATTTAGTTCAGCTCATTTCAGTTCAGTTCAGTTCCTAATTTTCTTCTCTCATAAACAGTTCAATCTTCAGTTCCTAATTTCCTTCTCTCATAATATAAACAATTCAGTATTTCAGTTCAGTCCAACTCAGTTCAGTAAATCAAAACAGGCCCTTAGTCGTGTTAAGGTTTAAACTCGTGTTTCCTAATGTTTCTTGACTGAGACTCAAGATTCTAAGCCTATCAACTGTGATTAAAAGTTATATCCCATTAACATCCTCATCAAAGGAATAATAAAAGACAAAACGTTCTCTTTTTAATTCTTATTTAATCATAAATATGAGTATTTTTACAATTACTTTTGTTAGAGGACCACTTGAAATAAGAGTTTAAGTTGATGGTTGAAACCCAAAATCGTATAACTTATATACTCTATCATGCATTCACGTGGCTCACGCATCTTCACATGAGAGCCCGTTGGACTTCAAATATGGATGGTTGGATGGAGCTTTGGCCACTATATATACCCGGCGCAAAATAAATTTCATTTGAAATAAGGTGTGGATAAGATTTAAACCAGTGAATTTTTAACAAGTCTTTCGTAATATTTTATTTTGATCAAAATTTGTCAACAATATTTTTAGATATATTTTTTTGTTTATACAAAACTAACTAAGGAGTATAATGATATTTGAAAAAGTGGTTATAAAAATTATTGTGCATGGCACATGAACTGACCTAGAAACTTTAATTAAAAAGAAGCCTTAATTAGGATATGCAACAAAAAAAAATATTGGATGAATACAGAATTTTAATAAAATTTATTCCAATGAAATAGAATTAATGATGGGCGTCTTTGTAAATAGTTACTCCTCTCATTGGTTTATAATCTTTACATTTGTAATCTTTTGTGAGAGAAAAATGATGAAAGTGAAAAAACTACTACTGTATATTAAAAAGTGGCTAAGTAAGTAGCTTTTAACCTTTTATTATTTAAAATTACAATTATCAAAATCTCTCGCCTTCCCTCTTCTCTCCTCCTCTTCTCTAGGGTTTCTCCAAAATCTTGGCGTTTAGGTCGAAAATAGTCTAATTTATTTAGAAATTAGATTATTTTCGACCCTTTTCCCTAAATTTTCTTTAGTTTTGCAATTTAAATTTCAATAAATCTACACGACTAAGTGTAGATACGTCCGTCTCCCTATGGTAGAGTCGTTAGTTTTTGTTAGTTTAGTTGTTTTTTTATGTTTAGGGTTTGCTTGTGTGTTAGGGTTTATCAACAAGGTAATCATCTTTTGCCCTATTGTCAGTTCTTTGGTAAAGATTTGTTCGGGATTGCAACGGTTGTCAAGTTTTCAAATGCGTTCAAGCGAATCAGATGAAAATCATCCTTACGAACAATGTTATCAGGATCGAGATTCTACTTTGGATCGAAAGATAGGAGTAGGATCGAGTCGTAAAATCAGATAGTAGGATCGATCGATCCTACAAAAATTGCAAAAAACTAAAAATTTTACCAAACTTTATCAATTATTTATTCATATTTAAACTAAATTTAGTATATAATAAAAATATATCAAATTTTTAAAAAAGTTGTTTTCTTAAATACATTACATGACGATAGTGTATACATACGCAATCTAAATTTCTAATACTACTTGTTACTTTTATATTCTAATTCTAATAAAAAAAGTTAACCTCTTTTTAAAAGTCCAAATAAATTAGCTTCCACTCACTAAATATTAATAGTTTTATATACAATTTACATGCTTGCTCTGAAATTAGATAATTAAATTCATTGTAACATAATCAGCTACATCGATCAAGTGAAATTCGAGTGAAATCAAGCAGGGTTGGTACCACAATATCTACCAAACCAAGAACAATAGTAGGCCCGCAAATTTAACTTATTTTAAACAAAAATAATTAAATAAATAAAAATTAAAGGGAAAAAATAAAGAAAAATAAATAAATTGAAAAGAAACTACTCCTTCCGTCCCTTTTTGATATTCCCTTATGGGCATTTTTCACGGGAATTAATAAACACAAATGAGAATAGTAAAAATACATTGAAAAAGTAAATTGACATTGGATATGCAAAAAAGTAGAGAAAGAAAGTAATAAAAGTACATGAGAAAACCAAATTTACATGGGAAATATAAATTTGCACAAGTATTGTTGATTCAACCCTTTAGGGGTAGTTGCGAATTCGACAGAGAATTAAAGGATGGAACAGGGAAAAGATTGATGCTTTTGGATGAATTAATTGAAGGAATTGATGAGAGAAGTTGTTTTTTTTGAGTGTAATGTAACAATCAGAAGGTTAGGTCGAGGGAAAGGAAGATAAAAAGGAGGGAAGTTAATAATGTGGAGCCCTCAAACGGAAATTCCACCGGAAATCCAAAAAAGGTGGTAATCTGAAAACTTTTTTAATTTCAGGGGTGGTAATTTAAAATAAAAGTTTTAATGGGTGGTAATTTCAAAATAGGATCCCTTTTTGGGTGGTAATTTACAAATTACCCTTAATATTAATGGTTGTTGGAAAAAGCAAATGGGGTGAACATTTTGGGACTAAAATTTGTCCATAAGGGACTATCGAAAGGGGATGGAGGGAGTAGATGAGCAAGCCCATACTTAAGTCCACTAAGATAAAAATGTTCCTTTTAAGCTTATTTTGTAGAACACAAACTTTAAAAAAAATCGGATGTACAATAATTATTGTACATCCACTATAAAGATAGACTAGATTGATTAAAAGTTACCCATAAAATAAGTAAAAGTTACCCTAATATGCATAAAAGTAATCCAATACAAATAAAAATTATTAGTAAAGAATCACATTTTAAATAACTAAAAATCAATTATTAGTGATTAAATGTAATTAAATTACCATTATAAAACTTTTCTTATTGTCTATTTATATAAAAATTGTATTATGTTAAAAGTTACCCAAAAAAAGACAAAAAGTTACCCTAAAATTAGGTAAAAGTTACCCTTATGCTGCTCGATGTACAGTAAAATAATTAGTGTAAACCGGGTGTATACAAAAGTTTTTGTTTGTAGAATCAGTAGAATCGGCCATAGGATCGTAGAATCGTTGTCGATCCTACCGATCCTATACGATTCTACCGATCCTATGGCCGATCCTACCACAGACCGATTCTATGGAAGATCCAGATCGACTGGGTGTATTAGGATCGTAGAATCGCACAATTCTATGATCCGGATCGCGATTTTGATAACTATGCTTACGGCTACAACAAATCGTTAGACCGTCTCTCCGAAAAGGTTGTATGTTCCAGCGATGTGTGCGAGAGATGTACCACAGACCACAGTGCAAGATTTTTTCAACGATCGTAGCATTGATGAAGGGAACCCTAATTTGATTCAATTTTATGTATTTGTTAATGTAGATTTCATTTATAGATGCCAGATGACTTTTTATTAATGAATTGATTTGTTTCAAAAAAAAAGAACTTTTATTATTTTGTTTCGTTTTTTTTTTTTGTTTTTTAATTATTGTCTTTAATATTGTTGATTTGTTGTACAATTCATTAGTTTAATAGTTTGGGAGTTGGGACGACTCTATCAAGACCCACCCATTTTATTAATTGGACGGATTTGACCCATTTTTAACTAGGTTGGGTTAGGGCTTTTAATTGGGCTTTAAGGCCTTCAACCCATTGAAATGTTCTCATTGTTAATAACATATAATTAAAAAAAAAAAAAATACTCCTCACTCTCTCTCTCAGTTCGTTCTCCATTGAAGCGCACTTGACGTTCTCCATTGAAATACCTGTATTCCCCATTGAAGCAGCTTCTGAGGTTAGTTGTTGTTTCTTTTTGTAAATTTTCATATCAATTTTACAATCTAGGGTTTATCTTTCATCTAATTTAATTTAATTGTCAATTGAGTAAGTTTAGTGTTCGAAAATCTGAAGTATTGGTTCTAATTACTATAATAAAAATTACGAGCCTAATTGATAATTGAATCAAATTTGGGTGCTAAAGTATTGCATAACCCTGAATTGAACTATGAAATTAGTCAATTAGACCTCACTGCTTTTATATATCGTTCCACTGTTTAATTTTCGAAATTTAAATTTGGCAAATTCAATCTTAATAATTATTTTTGTAATCTGATTTTGGGTGAACTCCTTTTGGGTTTGCCGAGATGATAAATTTGATTTCTAGGTTTCATGGTTGAACTTGTTTATAATATGGAAAATTTTTAAATTACCACCCAGAGATGTATTTATTTTCAAAATAACCACCCGTTTAATTTTTTATTCTATTTTAAAAAACTACTTAGATTACCACCCATTTTAAAATTCCGACGGAATTTTGTTGTGAGGACTCATCCAATGACTGGTAACGGCTATGTCTAAGATTACAATCAGCCATGTCTTCACTCAACCTCCCCCTTAAACCAATTTATTGAGTACAAGACAATCTAAAACCAAAAGAAAACAACTAAAAAAACCAAGAGCATGATGTCTGAATTGCACTACTACTGATCATCTTCTTCCTTTCATCACTAAGAGTCGTTGGGTGGGGCCCACATAAGAAAAATCCACTTGAATTTTAAAATGGGTGGTAATGTGAGTAGTTTTTTAATTTAAGGGGTGGTAAAATAAAATAAAAAATTAAACGGGTGGTTATTTAGAAAATGGATACATTTTAGGGTGGTAATTTAAAAATTTTCCTTATAATATTTTTGAAGTTTAGCTTGTTATTTACTCTTCTTAACTGTTATTTAGTTATGTATTATAAAGTGGGTTATTCAGTAGCGTGTTATTATAGTGTGTTAGTGTCAATTAAAAAGTCAATTAGATGATTTTGAACGAATTAATATGGAGTATCAAGGATGACAGCATGATAAATCCAAAGTAGTAAAGGTTTGAAACCAATTAAGAGAAAACATGATTTTCTCATATATTTGGAGGAAATTTAGTGAAGGGAATATGATGAACTACAACAGACCATTTGTGACCCTCCCTTACACGAGGTTGTGATGCTAGCATTAGCAGCAACCAGGGTACCAGACAAACCAGGGCATGGGAGGCTAAGCAAGCACTTGGTAGTGGGTTGAGCTTGAGCAGCTCTTTTGTCATATTAGGAAGAAGACAAGTAATAGTAATTAATACTTTTTACTAGGTAGCATTTTAGGGGTTGGTGAGCTTGATCAATTGAGGAAAAAAGAGGAGAGAGTCTAGAGACTAGAGAGGGGGTATCCAGAAAATTGTAAGCTTGGGCGCAGTTGGAGAGTGGTGGCCTAAAGTCATGTTTCAAACCCTTTTTGTATTTCCATTGACTAAAGATTCAATCTTTCCCTCTAATTTTGCATTTTATCACTTTCCATACAAGGAACTCAAATACATTGTGACAGGTATATGGTTTATAAATAGCAAGTTCTAGCTTAAATGATGTTAATTCTATACTAGTTAAAGAAGAGATAGCAGTTGAATCAATCGATCGTGTAATGTTGATATATTTTTTCCTCAATACTTTGTGTTTTCTTACGGAGTATCATTTTGCGCTCTCTTTTTTTCAGCACCATTTTCCCTTACTATTAATCAATCATTGTAAGCACCTGATCTACTGATAAAATGATGCATTATTCTGGCAAGTAGCAACATGTTGTTTCTTTTACATACATACATATATATATTTTTTTATAGAATCTACCATCAGATATATAGCTTGTTCTTATGTAACTTTTTTAATGCTTAAGGTGATCGATTTTGAAGTGATAAAAGGAGATGGTTAGGGCTCACTATCATTACAAGAAATTTTCTTCAGTCTGGGGTGTTGTTACTAGAATGTACACATCTGATGCAGCCGTCAAAGATTTATCTGATTCCGCATTTAAAAAAATATGTAGAATCATGATGTCATCTCCTAAAGTAGGACTGGATGTCAGGCTTGATCATAGCGGAGTTGAGGCTTCACCAGAGATGGTTGAGGATGTTTTGAAGAGATTTGGAAATGCAGGTATGATATCATATTGTTTTTTTGAATGGGCAGGAAAGCAACATTATTACACACATACTGTTGAAGCTTATCACATTATGATTGGGTCTTTGGCTAAAATAAGGCAGTTTGAGATTATGTGGGATCTTGTGAACACTATGAGGAACAAGGGGGTGCTAAGCGTTGAGACGTTTTGCATCATCATGAGAAAGTATGCAAGGATGCAGAAGGTGGATGAGGCACTCTATACATTCAATGTTATGGAAAAATATGGTATTACCTCAAACTTAGCTGCATTTAATGGGCTTCTAAGTGCTTTATGCAAGTCTAAGAATGTAAGGAAGGCCCAAGAGATCTTTGATAAAATGCATGAACAATTTGTTCCTGACTCAAAAACTTATAGCATACTGCTTTCTGGTTGGGGAAGGGAACCAAATCTCCCCAAGACAAGGGAGACTTTCAGACAAATGATTAATGTAGGTTGCAATCCTGATATTGTGACTTATGGTATAATGGTTGACGTCCTTTGTAAATCAGGGAGAACTGATGAAGCTGTAGAAACTCTTAGGAGCATGGATGCTAATGGTTGTAAGCCAACATCTTTTCTTTACAGTATTTTAATTCATACTTATGGTATAGAGAATCGAATTGAAGACGCCATAGATACATTTATGGATATGGCCGAAAATGGTGTGGAGACTGATGTGGGAGTGTACAATGCCCTAATTAGTGCATTTTGTAAAGTAGATAAATTGAATAATGTATTTCGGGTCTTAAAAGAGATGGATGGTAAAGAGGTTGTACCTAATGCTAGGACTTGCAATATAATATTAAACAGTTTGATTGGGCAGGGGAAGACTGATGAGGCTTTTAAGGTGTTTAGAAAGATGATTAAGGTGTGTGAGCCTGATACAGACACATATACAATGATGATAAAGATGTTTTTTGAGAGAGATCAGTTGGAGCAGGCTCTGAAGGTGTGGAAGTACATGATGTCAAAAAGGTTTGTTCCAAGCATGCATACCTATTCAGTTCTTATTAATGGGTTGTGTGAAAAGGGCCAGGTCAGTGATGCATGTGTATATATGGAAGAGATGATTGAAAAGGGGATTCAACCTCCAGTTTTGACCTTTCGCAAGCTGAGGCAGTTGCTTATTAAAGAACGGAGGCAAGATGTCCTGAAGTTTCTTCAGGAGAAGATGAATCTTTTAGTCAAGGAACCTTTGTGTGATTGAGAGGCTATGAAGACCGTGTTTACAAAGTAATATATAGACTGAGTCAGAAGCAATGAATCACCCTTGCTCGATTGTCCTTTGGAATTTCAGGTTAGGGATTACAAGCCCCGGTCATTGCTTTCTTTCCTATGATTGCAACAATTTAAGAAAGTACAACATTTGTTATATTGAAGTCACTAGGTAAAGTATTAGTTTTGAAAATTTGATGTTTAAGAATTAATTGCATATAAATCTTATTGCACATTGCTGTGGCATCTTTACATGTCATTGAAATGAATGTAGGGCCGAAAGTGCTGACATGTTCCTATTCCATCCTCTCGATCTACTTAAGTTGATTATTTATAATTTTGCATACAAAAACATTGTTTTCTTACCAGAGATCCCCCATTTAAGTTAAAAATTAATAAACTAATTCTTAATCCTACAAAAAACAATTGCAGGTTGGTCAAGTTGATTGGCGAATGGGTTGTTTTATAGTTTAAAAAAATTCTTTGAGATCATTAAGATCTACCTTCACATTTGTGCTTTACCAGGGACATTGATGCTCTGTAACACCATTACAGATTATTTACAGTCTGGTAATTCATTGTTTGTAAAATTTTAATCATTGGTTAGCTGTTGATGAGATTGTAAACAGTGCGATGATACCTTGTATGGTCACTACACTAGTAGAAAAAATGTCATTTGCAGCAGCAAATCTTTATATAGAACGCTGCAAAATAATATAAGTCAACGTGGGTCAAAAAAATTTATTAGCAACGTTTTTAATTGTAGGCGCTGCAAATAATTTTGGAAATAAAAAAATACAAGTAACCAGCTAGCCATTTTTCTCCTACTCCGTACTTCATTTTTTTCATCAGATAGATAAAAACGAGAAACCTCTTCATTTTCTTCACCATCTCCTTCATTTTCTTCGGCGTCCAACCATCCACCTTCTCTGTCAACCTCCTCCTCACCGTCAACCTCTTCCTCCTGTACCAATTTTAGAAGATCCGGGGTCTTTTCTCTCCTCTTTCTCTTAATACGTGGCCATCCACCCTCCTCCAAGACGAGATCATACTGGTTCTCCATTGAAGCGGCTTTTGAGCTTTCTTTGAAGATGACTCGTTGCTCTCCTCTCATTCCCTATGGTATGCTCTCTTCTCCATCACTTTCTATAGTCAATTATTTTGTGAATTGTGATTAACAAGAGTCAGATTCTAAGGTTTATGTTTCCAATTGGATCTATCATAATGATTGATTATTGAAAATACATCTAGGGTTTGATGTATTCTGTTTTTGGTATTTCCTTATTACGTTAAATTATACTACGCAATTTCTTTTTTTTTTTTTTTTATTGAAAATTCATCTAGTGTTCGATTTATTCATTTTGGTTCAATTAATTAGATTTCTGGTTATTTTCCAACAAGAAATTCACGAGTCTGAGTATTTTTTGGTACTTGACCATCAATATCTAAGTTTTCTTATACGTTTTTAAGGATAGACGAGTTAAAACTCTTCTAGTGCTTGTTCTAGTAGACAGAATTTATGTGACGCTATGAACACAACTGGTAGTGGCTCTCAACTTGAAATGATTTTGCAAGGCTGATGATCTGAGCAACCCAGTTGGTAGTTGATAGCTTTCCTCTGACAGACAAAAAGCTGCTAACTCATTGTTTCAACTGATGATCAACATGTCAATCGCCAAATGAGAAACCTTCTGACGAACTTTGGAGGAAGGGAGGTTGCTTATATCTTAACATAGGGGTTCATTAGTTGTAGTGTTATCACTTTATTGTATGTCCTGAAATTATTGAATGTCATTTTTCCTAGGCTATTTTTACCCTCCATGGTAAATTTGGTAATCAAGCCATTAACATTGCTGTTTTTGTACTGTGGAGGTGAGCTGGGTCGTTTTGTTGCTGATAGACGGTGTCTTACTAAGTTACTAGTCTTAAAATGGACGAATGCTCTAATCTAGGATCGGTCATTATTTCTTCAAGTAGTCTTTCTACACTCTGGCTTTTTTATCTTCATTCTCTATCTAAGACAGTAATTACTCCCTCCTTTTTATTCTAACTCTCTAATATCTGAACTATTAGTATAAAATCTTTTTGTCAACCCCCTTTTTTTTTTGCGCTTACTTGGGTCTCATCACTGCAGATTATCAAATGCCCTAATTTGAAGGAGATTTCTTTGAATTTTTTCTCATCAAGATAATGATACCATGATGGACAACTTGGGAAAATTCTGCCCAAGGTTGCAGAACTTTCATGTTACATTGCCTAGATTATCTCATGCTACTGTTCTTGCTCTCTCAGCAGCAAGTTTGAGGTTGGTACAAATATACAGATATATTTTATTCTTGTTATAAAAAAAAAAGGAAGGGTTGTACACCTTTTGTTCTAGCATACAACTGAATATAATGACGAGGCTTGACGAATTCTATTGGTTGCCATTTCCCTTTTGTTCAGGGACTGAGAATGCTCTCATTAGTGTTGGGCTCTGGCATCAGTGATGCTTCTGTTGTTGCTATTGCTTACAGCTTTTCAAAGCTAGAGCTGCTTGACTTGAGTGGGTAATGCCTCATCTTCATATTTCATTGCTTAGCCAAATTTGTCAGCAATCAGCAAGATTAGGCTTTGTTTCTAGTTTACTTAGTTTACCTCAGGAATCTTAGATTGTTATTTTGTTGATGTAGGTCTAGCATCACTGATAGTGGCATTAGAATGATATGTAACGTGTTATCCCGAACTTAATCAATATTATTGCTAGCGCTTTGCCCTAATATCACTTCAAGTAAATTTCTATTCCTTGTTTGGACTTAATTATGCTACCTTGGTATTTATTGTTGGTTTCAGTTCCACATTATCTGTTTGATTCTGAAAGTACTCTACTTTTTGCCTATAGTTGGGGATCGGAAGGGAGTCACTCGACACCCACAATGTCACACACAAGAATCAACCAACAATTCAATCCAATCAACCCAAATTCTCATACAACCAAAATAGCACAACCAAATCAGCAATAGAGCGATAGCAAAACATTAATTATACCAACAATACTAGAAAGAAACGATAACAATCAACACACACAAGGATTATACGTGGAATACCCCTTCGATGTGAAGGATAAAAACCACGGGACCATTTAAGGAGTCCACCCTAGCTTTTCTAATTGATAAATTGAAGGAGAAAGAATCCCAAATCAGTTTACAAAGGATTCACAACCCACTAACAACAACAAACAATAAGAATTGAAATTAGAGTGTGAAAAGAGTAGAATTCACCCAAAAAATAGCAGTTTTGTCTAGAGATGTTTTTGACCCAACCAGAGCTCAAACCAAAGATCCAACTATCCAAAGTAAAGTTCTTAATGTCAAGAATAAGCTGTCTAAATTTGAGCATGATCCAACGGTGGAATTTCCGGCAACAACCAGATTTGTAAGAGCTGCCAGAAAAATCCGAAATTGGAAGCTCTCTTGAAAACCTTCACTTAGCTCCCAATATGTGCGTGTGTATGATCAGCCCTTTGCTGCTTACATGGCGACTTGTTTACCACAAAATATCACCTCTAAAGCTTCCAAAAGAAGCAATAAAAATAAGCCTCAAAGTAGACTTACAAAACTTAGTAAAATGACTTGAAATGGACCAAATTATTTGACTCAAAGTAAGACTCATTTTACTACCACTTGGGCTAGACCCATAACAAATCCCTCGCTCCAGCCAATTCGGGGAAGATGACCATGCTTCAATGATCACTTGAAGCTCACTGCAAGCTTACCACAAACTTCAAGCTTGTCCAAGTCATTTGACATGAAAGATGGAGATTGCTCGTGATAGGAAAGTTGGAAAATTGTGGCTATCACAAGAAAAATATATTGAACGGGTGCTTGACAAGTTCAATATGAAGCATGCCAAGCCTGTTAGTGCACCATTAGCACCTCATTTTAAGCTAAGTAAGAGAGCTTGTCCTACACAGATGGAGAAAACAAGTATGTCTTCTATTCCTTATTCCTTATTCTTCGGCTGTTGGTTCATTAATGTATGATATGGTGTGTACTAGGCTAGATATTGTACATTATATTGGTTTGGTGAGTAGATACTTATCCAATCCGGGTAAGACTCACTGGGATGCAGTGAAGTGGATCTCTAGATATTTGCGTGGTATCAGTAAACTTTGTTTGTGTTATGGAGGTGGCAAACCTATTCTTGAGGGCTGTACAAATGCAAACATGGCTGGTGATCTTGATAAGTTATGTGTTCACATTTTCAGGGGGAGCCATCCAAGTTACAAAAGTGTATGGCATTGTCGATTAAGGCATAGTATATAGTAGCTGTGGAAGCAAGTAAAGAGATGCTTTGGTTGAAGAGGTTGGGTTTGAAGCAAAGTGAGTATTTAGTACTTTGTGATAGTCAAAATGCTGTGGATTTGTGCAAAATTCCATGTGTCATGCTCGTACCAAGCATATTGATGTTCGATATCATTGGTTGCGAAATTTGATTGAAGAGAAGAAAATGAAACTTAAGAAAGTCCACATCGATAAGAATGGTGCAGAAACGTTGACAAAGATGATTTCCGAAAGTAAGCTTGAAGTTTGTAGTAAGCTTGCGAGATTGAGCTTTAAGTTATCATTAAAGCATGGTCTTCTTCCTCGTGTCGGGCTAGAGGGGGAGATTTGTTATGGGTCCACCCAAGTGGTAGTACGTAAATGAGTTTTACTTTGGTCCAATAATTCAGTCCATTTCAAGACATTTTATGAAGTTTTGTAAGTTCTATTTGAAGCTTATGCTTTTGAGGTGATATCTTGTGGTAAACAAGTCACCAAGTAAGTTTAGCTAAGCATTCATACACAAAATAAAGAGAGTGAGGGTTCTTTACAAGAGTTTCCATTTTCGCATTTTTCTGAGGAGCCTTTACAAAACTGTCGTCGAAAATTCCACCGTTGGATTGTGCTCAAATTTGGACAGCTTAATCCTAACATCATAGATTTCATTATGGACGGTTGGATCGTTGGTTTGAGCTGTGGTTTTATCGAAAACATATCTGAATTTTGGGTGAATTTTATTCTTTTTACTCTCTAATTTCAATTTCTTATTGTTCATTGTTGCTGGGATGTGAATCCTTTGTAAACAGACTTGGGATTCTTTATCCTTCAATTTATCAACAAGAGAAGATAGGGAGGACTCTTTAAACGGTAACGGTCTCGTGGTTTTTATTCTTCACACCGAAAGGGGTTTTCACGTATAATTCATGCGTGTTGATTGATATTGTTTCTTCCTAGTATTGTTGGTGCTATTGTTGTTTTGCTATTGCTTAATTGCTGATTTGGTTGTGTGAGAATATGAGGTGATTAGATTGGATTCTTGGTTGATTGTCTTGTGTGTGACATTGTGGGGTTCATAGTCCCCCCTTCCGGTCTTTACAACTTGGTATTTTGTTGGGGTTTTCAAGTCCTACATGGAAGAAATAAGGAAGGGATGACTTACTTATAAGTGGAAGTATACTCCATTAGTATGATGCCTTTTGGGAAGGTGTCCAAAAACAAATTTGTGCGTCAAAGCGAGCAATATCATATCAATATGGAGTGGAGTGTGCGTGGGGCCCAACAATGTGGGTGACCCCGGGCCCAACAAACAGGTGGTATTCTATTTGCCATAGCTCAATTACCTCTTCTGGAGCTAATGGACCGTGGTATGTCAATCTGTGATCCTGACATGGATGATGTTTCTGTGGATAAAAGCAATGATAATGAACCACAGAAAAGTATCAAGTTGCATCATATATACCAGAAGCTTACCATCAAGCGTAATCGGATGAAGTTCCTAATTCATCTTTTCAATGCAAGGTCCTTCTTCTCTAATGTCTGATTGTTGCTGGCTAAAGACAATGCTTCTAATGTCATTAGGCTTGGAAGTGCTGTTAATTTCAATCACGTAGGGTCAACTGTCTCTCTTTATTTCACTCTCCTCTTGAATCTTTCTTCTGGTTAGTTTCTTTTTCTTCAATTTTTAATGTTTTCAGCTCAAATTTTCAATTTTTCAAAATTATATCATCTACAGATTTAAATTTGATGGTGGAACAGGTTATAAAGGTGACAACAATTTATGTGGTTGCATTGTTGGTGACCAAGATGACAAAAATGGATAAAGATGGTGTTCGACTTCTCTTAGGCATCTCTTTGCTGATAAACGTGAAGAAGATGCAGTGGTGATAGGGAATTACCATGCGTTACAGTTGATCATCACTCTCTCTTTAAGGAAGGACCATGGCATGTAAGTTAATTGATATCTGTATTTCATTTAATTTAAGTTATAATTTCAATAGTTCTCTGACTATGTTTGTTGGTATTCTTTGTTTGTGTAAGAATGTAAATAGTAGTAGACTAGTAGTACTCCACAGGCTGCGCATGCATTATCTCCAGCCCTTAAGAGTAGTAAACTAGGCCTTTACTATTATATGGAAATTGGCACCACCTTTGCACCAGAAATTAGCATGTATATTACTCAGCATTACTAAACAAAGATAATTGTAGTCTTGTATAGTCATATATCTTTTGTACCATTTTAGTTGATTTGTTTAGAGTCTGAGAAAAATTAAGGAATGTTCGTCGAGGGACATAGGGGGTACTAGTCATACTACGTTCTTACTCGTACTAATTTAAGTGATGAAAGTTTTATTTAAGTGATCCCGATATTAGTGTCACTACCATTACACTTAGGGGCCGTTTGGTTGACAGAAGGGAATCGGAATGGAATGAACAAAGGGAATGAAATGGAATGGAATGGCAAAGTGGAAAATTTGGAAGGTTGTTTAGGGAATCATTCCCTCCACCACAGCACCACCACCACAGCGCAGCTCCGACCGCCGCCGAACCCTCACAGACCTCCGCCGACCGTCGCCGACCCATCCCCGAGCATCGCCGACCATCCAGCCCCCATCGCCGACCGTCGAACTCCCTCCCCGATGCTCCAGCCCCCCTCCCCGATGCTCGAACTCCCTCGCCGACGGTCGCTGACCCCTCGCCGACCCTCCAGCCCCCCTCGCCGACGGTCGCTGACCACCACCGACCACAGCACCACCTCGAACTCCCTCCCCGATGCTCCAGCCCCCCTCCCCAACGCTCGATCTCCCTCCTCCACCACAGCACCACATCGCCGACCACTCCCCGGTGCTCGCCGAGCCTCCCCGACCACTCCCCGGTGCTCGCCGACAGTCGCCGTCCGACCACCACCGACGTATATGGGTGTTAGTGTTAGGGTTAGGGTTAGGGTTAGGGTGGGTGGGGAATGGAATGGGAAAGTGGGGGGGGGGGGTGGGGAATGGGGAAGAGGGGTTTTGGGGTATTTTGAAAAATGAAATGGGGGAATGATTGAGGGAAAAAGTGGCAAACAAACAGGTTGAAAGGGAATGATTCCCATTCCCTTTCTATCAAAATTGAAATTTTACCCAAAAAAAATAAAAATAAATAAATAAAAATAAAAATCTACAGTGTTCTTTCTAATTACAAGTAAGCACAAATACCTTTTTAACAAATTAACTTCATATATATAGACAAACAAATCAAATTAAATCATATATGAAACATATTTAATGTCTGCAACAATTTATCTATGATCTTATATATAACTAACCTAATTACTGTGGTTTACAATCTGGATCAGAAATAAGGCTGGTCAACCAAACAGAATCATCTGCTTTAGGCTGATTATCCTCATTTCTATGCCATGACCACTGAGCATGGGTTGAGTTGACAACTTGTAATTGTCCATGCCCAAAACTTGCTTCTCTGTAAATGGAGATCTCTGGGTTTGGATCCACAAATCTGTGAATATTATGTAATTTGAATTAATTAACCATAAGCTCAACAAGGCAAACTCTTATAAACTCTATTTACACAAATTTACCGATAAATCAAGAGAAAAATCTAAAGTTTGTAATTGCGCTAGTTGAAATAAGATGCACTCTTTTATTTTCTTTCTCTAATGCACTCTTTAAGGGTGGTATCGATTCTATTGAAGATCAAGACACAAAACTATTCACATTGAGTGTTTGCAAAAGTCCCCCCCTTATATTAGTATTATTAGTACATCTACTTTGAAATAAAAATCCAATGGAAGCTATATATACGTATTAATTAGTTAACGCCCGAAAAATGTGTTTTATTTATTTTTTTTTTTTATTTTTTTTATTTTTTTTTAAGTGTATCCAAGTGTATAATACTTTTGCACCCATTTAAATTATTTATTTATTTATTTTTAATTGCACAATGATTGATTTCACGCTTGTTAATGCATAACTTTGGCTATTTGACGAATCTAACTTATATTTTTTTTTGGTGTTCTACCCGGTTCACCCTTTGGGCTAATCCGGATTCGAGGATCAGTTCTGGGTGGTTAGGTTCCAATCCCCTCCCAATTGTTGTTGAGGGGGATCGAACACAGGTTCTCCCTACCAAGTGTAGTCCCAATCACCACTATACCAACACCCAATTGGTACGAATCTAACTTATATGAATAGTGTAAAAGTCCTTTTGGTGTAATAAAAGAAAAACGGAGGTAGTAATGTAGTATGTTTCATTTGATTTAGTAATCCTCGTTCTTCACTCACCTTGAGTGGATTATAAAAATCACAAACTTTTGTAAATGAATCGGACATAACAAACTCTATTTAAAAAAGTAATACTCTCTCCGTGTTGTGTTACACTTACCAAATCCGGCCGTATTTTAATAAGTTTTACATTTCCTTTTTTGGCAAAAAGATACATTAAAATATTATCTCTCTCCTCTCATAATCTCCACCAAAAACTACTACTTTTTTTTAATTATATATTTCTTCTCACATTCATTATTTTTCAATAAATTTTTACCCCAAATATATTACTTTTACGATTTTTTAATACTCCAACTACCCCACTTATTTATTATTTTATTAAAGTCAATTAAGTAGCCTAAAACTATATGCCGGTCAAAATGTAACACTTAAAAAAACAAGGAGGGAGTAAGATATCTCATATATGGTAATGAGAATATATAAACATTCATATAAATTGAAATAAAGGTTAAGAGAAAATACGTTCTGGCAAGTCCTTCTCGATTGCCTCCATCCCCTATAGTGATATGCATAGGGCCACACTTGTTAGCTTTTCCATCAAAAACTCTAGTCTGTTAAACAATCAAAGTGAAGATGTAAACATCATTAGAAATAAATAACTTGTCTTGTCAATTTGTTATAGACATAACCAATTAATTTTACAACTATATTCATGATATATTGATCTCTTAGAATGAGATATTAATTTACTCCATAACTTAGGGATCGAATCAATTTCTTCCATTTCTTGCAAATTCGATACAATCATAAATGTTGCAAATTAAGGGCTTGTTCTCATTGACTGAACTCAGCTGAACTGAATTGAATTAAGCTGAACTGAACTGAACTGAAATGAATATTTTATAAGAGAAGGAAATTAGGAGCGGAGTGGAGCGGAACTGAGCTGAACTGAGCTGAGCTGAACTGAACTGAACTGAATTTCAACGTAAGAGAACAGACCCTTAGTTATGACCTTTTTTTTTCATGTACATAGATTAATACTACACCCGTTTCATATTATTATTTGAAACGATTAGACATTTTCTGCCTACACTTTATATAAAATCATTTCAAATAATATGAAATGGAGGTAATATATGATTTGGACGACTAGTTTTAAACTTGATATGTTAACTACCCGATATTAAACACTATTAAATGTACTGTGCAAACAAAGAGAAATTTTCACTTACATATCTTTCATAAGCATGCACATGCCCAGCAAAAACAATATCAACCCTTGCATCATAGAGTAATTGTTCCATGGCCTTTCTCATATCCACTGATTCATACTCTCCTGCGTGAGCCTTGTTGGAATTGTACCATGGCGCGTGCAAAACCACAACAACCCATGATGTCTTCTTTCTGTCGATTTTGTTCAAGTCACTCTCAAGCCATGTATATTGGCTCGAGCCTTGGTTAAAGTCGGTATAGGACCCAAGCATGATGACATGAACCTCACTTGCCACATCAAAGGAATAATATAGGTTTGAGGGTGACACTCTCCTCGAAAGGCATGTGCCATCGGGAATTGTAGGAGGTAAAGGGAGTTGGATGGATTATCGGTATCTTTTCAACCTCGTGGTTGCCAATGGTCACCATCCAAGGCCTCTGGCTAGCCAAAGGTTCCACGAGGCGGCCAAATGAGTCCCAATAAGGTTGCCAAAAGTCTGCATAGGATAAGTCTCCCGGTAGTAAGAGCATGTCGTACTCTACTTGTGATATGTGTTGGAGGGTTGATTCTGTCCACTTTGTTTGCCCTAAGTCACCTGTGTTATTTATATAGATGCATATATTATTTAAACACCATGATAAGTAGTGGAATTATAAATCAAAAATGATAAAAATAAAATTTTGGGCAAGTCTAGCATCGTGGTTACAAAATATACGAATTGGGATGGATAAAGAGTAAGTCACTAAAAAGTAAGGTGGAAAACATTGCATAGAAAATTCAGGCAACCTTTGCATTAAGAAGGTTACCAAAACTAGATGGAAGGAGGAAGTGACATGTGGTAGTGTCAAGGGACAATGGGGTAAAAAACTATTCCTTCAAAAATATAATGAAGTTAATTTTATTATCATGGCGCAAAGTCTTTAATTCGAAATTCTCAATTTATCTTGAGATCATATATAATTGTATGAGTATCTTTAAATTCCGGTAGAATTTTAAATTAAAACGAGTTTTAACTTGAAGCTAGAAGAGGCCCAAAGACTCGTCTCGAGCTAGAATGCAAATGTAACGAGCCAAGACTAGCAACTATAATCTCGAATTTGGCTCATCTTTTTTAGGCCACACCTCACATCATTGATATTAAAGGTTATACACAAATATACACATATAGAGTCGTAGAAATGTACCTATAACAACAAATTTGAGGGGCAATTGAGGTGGTGTAGTCTTAAAATTGAACTCGCGAGATGAATGACCACTACAACGATCATAATAAACCGTATTAGGGTTGAGAGGGCCAATGACTACCTCGTGGATATGGCCCGACTTGTAGAGAAAATATGTATAACTTGTACAACTTCCAATTGCAGAATTATCATATTCTCCAGATGACGTGCCATACTCTACTTTAGATGGAGCTGGTTTTTTAGTGATCCATGATATTCTCATATGGTCTCTTCCCACCATGGAGACATGTACCTATAAATATAAATTTACATCAATTAGCTTATACGGAGTACTTCGTATATTTGTTTTTAATTTACTTTTCGCCTAATAAAATATGTCCGGTAAATGATCGTTGTTTAACTGCCACCACCATTGATAATTAACCGCCACCACCATTGATAATTAACCGCCACCACACTCGCCACTCTATCTCAACAAAATATCACGGCACCACTCATACGTGGTGTCTTCGTCTCACCATTTATCAATATTTATTAAGATATTGGTTTAGGAATTGAAGTCAAGTTAGCCAAGCCTTGCCAGAATGAACCTTATTTGCTTGTTATATTATTTCTCCATTTCCACAAGAAATATAAGTATATATGAAAATCCAAAATTCTATGGTTGTCATCCTGAAAATGAGAACCATTATATTAATTTTTATTTTTATGTCAACATTAAATATAAATGTTTTTTCTTATTTTTAAAATATATTGTTTATTTTTTAAATATATTTTCATGATTAATTAATTATTTTTTAATTTCAGTAATAATAAAAAATGAATTATGTAAATTAATTACAAAAATTATAAAAAAAAATTCTAAAATTATTCCAAATTTAAGAAATGACTTTTAAAAAATAGATAAATGATTGGTCATTAATTTTGACATGTACAAATAAATCAAAATCGGCCAATAAGTAATTAGTATAATGGTAAGTCATTTTAAGAATGACTATCATAGAATCATCCAAGTATATAACTATGAACGTAAAGAGAAATTATTTTAATTTATTTAGCTTAAACCAACCTTTTTAAAAAAAAATTATTTATACATACTTATACATTTGTTTTTAAATATGTGAATTTAAGATGAGAAATTGCATATGCACATATTTAACAAGTCAATTCAACTTAATTGAATAATTGTCATCCTACTACTAATGATTCACAACTATAAATGAGTACATGACATGTATAACTCATTTGTATAAATTAAAGTACAAAATGCACCGTCAAAAGCCACCTGGTCGTTGACTTGTACATGTAGTGTGTAGGGTTGACCTGTAAGTTTCATGACCCCCTCAAAAAGTACATGTGCAATATATAATTTAAGACTCGAAAAGAATATGCCAAATGTAACGAATTAATACGATGACACGTCTTAGATTATCCAATCGTAAACAACAGAGACAGCATGTACTTAGGCGAATTTCATGCATTTAAACATCATCTTCAATGAATATATTTGATGTTAGCTCTGTAATTAATTAATGAGGGCGAGAAATTCTGTAAGCAAATTTAATGAGAATAAATGTTTAATTTCTTATGTAATAAGAATGGCCTTAGAAGACTTTCCAATAATATATGTAATGCCAAATTACCTCCAAAAAATAGCATGTAAAGCCAAATTTGGATATTCCAAACTATTACTCTGTACTTTATCTATATTTAGTATTTAAAAACACAAACAAACATAAGCCAAAGTACCTCATGTCTTCCTTCCCTATGACCCTTTTACATTCTTGTTTCATGAGTCTAATTAATGTTTTTTATTTTAATTTATGTTTTCATTGGATTTCTTCAGCTTTCCCCTTTATTTCTTAAAAACTATTTATATTATGTAACTTCTAATTTAATTTAACAAATTGAGTTTCTTAACTTTCTCCTCTTCTGCCTCCCTCCATCTTCCAATTCAATTAAATCACATTCATTCAATTATTTGACCCCTTATCTTCTCCCGATCTATCTCCTAATACAAATACAATTTAATAAAATAGAGAATTCAAATTTTTTATGTAAATCGAGATTGCAAAGAAGGAAGAATCGATTTTGACACAAAAAATGAAGAAAACCCCGTGCGTAATTTGTGAAGTTTTAAGTTTAATTAATATAATAGCTTATGCACATCCCGTGTGTAGAACGGGCCCAAAAGCTAGTTAATTATTTGAACTTGCCATCTCCATGATCTCATAGTTTTATGTTTTTCAAAATGCTAAGTAGGAGTGATAATTCATTGTGTCAATGAGCTGTGTTTAGGGTGGGATCTTAAGTGGTTTGATTTAAATTGTGCTAAAAAACAGTGCTCTTTAAATTATTAGTACACCCTATATACAAATGGTTTAATTATAATTAAAGTGAATTTGGGTTTTTTAAGTTTGATTTTTTGGAAGGTTTGAATTTCTATTAATGACTTTTAGTAAGGTTAAGGATAGTTTGCTCTAAGTTTAAGCATCATTATGTTGTGAAGGAAATTTCCCAGACTCCAAGTATTAATTAGTTACATTAACATGTACCATAACCAATTGATGAACACCCAATAAACTAAAAAATCAAAATCAAGATGGGGTAAAAAAAAATTAGGGAGAAGGGAATTAAGTTAATTACCTGCTGAGGAGTGGTGGAACTATGAGAATCCGTTGTGATTGAGCGTGTTTCTTGTGGTGGTGGACGGATGTTCGACACCACATCACGGTTAAAGGCAGCCTAAACGATGGCTGATATTGCCAATAAAAGGGTCGCATTTGCCATTGACATGGAAGATATCATCTTGTTACTTCGCATCTTCTTGTATATGAAATGAAATATATTTTGTTTGATGTTTGATAAGAAGGCATATAAATAAAATTATCGAAAAGAATAAAAATGTGTAACAAAGGTTATGGTGCAAATGTCAATAATGTGGTATATATATATTTGTTACATCCAAAATCATCTATGAAGTAGTGCTACAACTTTAATACCATGCTTTCACAACACTTTAATTCCTACGTAGCCAAACTACGTTAGTTATTTTATAGGTGGGCTCCACTTCTTATGTTTCGTGAGAGGAGGAAAGTGTTCAATACGTAGAAATGCAAGATAAATGACTTTTGGCATTTTTAAGGAAATCTAGCATGTTTTTAATTATTTTTAGAATTTGGAATGTGATTTCACATATAAATAGTAAAGTCGGATTGAATAAATCTACTTCTCCTTTTCGATGCTTAGGAGTTTTCATTTGTATAATATTTTTTCAGTAAAAAGATTATGTGCATTTGTATATGCTATGTTATAAAGCATAATATGAAGCTATTTTTTGAAAATGCTACATAATTAAGATACATGGTTTGCTCAAACATCTAGTTTAATCTTACACCAAGTATTTTTTTTTTTTTTTTTTTTTTTTTTTTTTTTTTTTTTTTTTTTTTTTTTACAAAAGCAAATGTATTTATAAAATCATAGTTTACAAATAGAGAATAAGAACTAAAACTTAAAGCATGACTTTTAACACTTAAGCCTTTACAACAACTTTTGACATTAAAAATAAAAATAAAATTGAGCTTATTATTACTAAGGTAGATTCATACAATTGCAATGGCATGAGGGGTGTGCATACATATACATATAGACCGAGCTTGATCCCATCCTTAGCAGCTACAATTTAAATTTCTATGTAGTTTGATCATTCCCATCTAAATTCATCATATTCTTTAATTATAGTCCCTTGGCCTTTAAAGTATTTTCCAGGCAATTTGAATCTCATATAGATTTAGCTCATCACTTTGAACAAAAAATAATATGATTTAGATAATTACTGCATAATTAAGATGATTCACACCAAAGAAAATTTAGGAAAATGAAAAAGAAATAAAGAGAGGCAGGTAATACCATTATATTAGTACAAAATACTACTACCTCCGTCCTCGAAAGAACGACCCATTTGACCTAATTTTAGTCCAAAAAAGAATGACTCATTTGCATTAAAACACCCACCTATTTGCAACAATATTTGTGCAAAATTAGCTTCCCCATATAAAAATTTGATTTTCCATGTAATTTTATTACTTTCTCTCACTATTTTTTTACAAATCCCATGTAAATTTATATTTTCAATATACTTTTACTTCTTTTTATTTAACTTTCTTAATACCCGCGTAATCAACCCAAATGGGTCGTTCTTTCAGGGACGGAGGGAGTACTACTCACACACCAAATAAGTATATAAATTAAATAAATACTTCCTCTTTTTCTTTTTAGTTGACACGTTTCCTTAATAACGTTTGTCAATGCACAAATTCAATCACTAATATCTTTAATTATCGATAAACAAAAATTATAAAAAGTTGATATTTTGAAAATATACATTGTGACAAATCTAACAAAATCCAACTTGACTGTATTTTTCATCTATATAAATCACAAAACATGGTCAAAGGGACGTGTGTGAATAGTGCTAAAGTCAAACGTGTGAGCTAATAAAAAACGGATCGGAGGTAGTGTACGGGATAGACCGGTAGCATCCTTGATTAGCCGGTAAAAGAGTGTTGTGCAGTTAAGCCCTCGTTAATTAGCATCCAAACCATCGTTAGTTAGCATCCAAACCATGGCCCTTATCAGCATTCCTCTTTGCCACGTGGAGAGCTGCTTCTCATCACGTAGCATGTCCCTCTGACACGTGGAGAGCTGTTTTGGGCCATGTAGGCACCTGTTGCCTATAAGGTCGGTGTGCCACCTATCTGTATAGGTGGCACCTGCTTGGTTGTCTTTCTATAAATATCCAAGCAAATCCCCATTCAAAAGGTAGAATCTCTCTCTCTCTCTCTATAAAACACTTTCTTTCTCTTCTTTCTCTTTCTTCTCATAAAAGTACTAACTTTAGCATCGGAGTGGTTATTCCCGGATAACCCCCGGATAAGCTAATCTGTATTGGGTGTATAGGTGCGCAATTGGACGGTAAATCATTACCAGCCCTTAAACACTGACGGAAGCAGAATTCATCCAGGTAGTACTTTAATATAAATAATATTTCATACTCCATATAAATAAACAAATAAATAAATATGTTTGTAAAACGTGGCAAGGGATTACCGCTTTCATGCTGAGTAGTAGTTTAATTTTATATGGAGTACTAAGGGTACAAGGAAATGAGAGCATTTTTTTTTTCCAATTTGATTGAACGAATTGGTCAATTGATAGTTATTTTATAACGTTATTTGTTCATTTTTATTTATTTTTACGAGTATTTTTTTACATAGAAAATGTAAACAAAACAGAATTCTTATCTTAAGGAAAATTTCTTAACTGATCGACCGTTATTCGAACATAGTTTTATTACTTGTAAACTTATAATTTCTTTTCTATTAAGTAATCCCCGTGCATGAAAGTGTCATATCCCTTCCTATTAGTTCGTAATTTCCTTTATTTCATGCTCTTTTGAGTAAAAAGCAATGAACGAATAGTTTAATCGAAATTACCCTTTCAATTAAGGAAAAAGTGACGCGATAAATCCCAAGTTTGTGGTGTCATCGATCTTCCTATATTTACTTTAACAAGTTAAATAAATACAAAGAAAATAAATGTGTAGCAAATTTTCAATGTGTCTAAATTAAAGCCTAACCTAATTCCTAAAGTTTACAATCTGGATCTGAAATAAGGCTAGTTAACCAAACTGAATCGGATATTATAGGTTGGTCATCTTCATTCCTATGCCATGTCCATTGAGCATGGGTTGAGTTAACAACTTGTAATTGTCCATGCCCAAAACTTGCTTCTCTGAAAAGGGAGATGTCTGGCTTTGGATCGGTATACCTGTTGAAATATTCATTTTTAGTTAAATACAATCACCAAAAAGCAAAAGGAAATGGGAAAAGACAAGCTAAGCAAGACCTATATATTGTATTTGTATATAATACTTATATATTGTACATGTAACGTTTATGTGTTACGTAGACCACTAAGTTGTGCCTTAACTGCCTTTTATAGGCCGCCGAAGTGTACCATAGAAATTGCACTCTTTAATCTAGAGTAGTAAGCTTGAACTAAACACCTTATATATGTCTTAGATAATTAGTTCAATAGGGTTCATAATATAGTTTCTAGCTTGTCATTTGACAAGGACAAAAAATACTCTTGGCTAACCGTGATTTGTTTCCAAAACATGAATTTTGTCATAGATGATTAACTTTCTATCTTCTTCAAGCATAACAAGGCAAGTTTAAATAGGTAATAAGAAGCATATAAACATAAAGGTATGATTAGGAACATACTTTGTGGCAAGGCCTTCGCGATTGCCTCCATCCCCTATAGTGATGTACACCGGACCACACTTGTTTGCTGTTCCGTTGTAAACACGAGTCTGTTTTCAATTGAAGTGCAACCATCGTTAAAGATGAACAAAGAACATATTATACCAATGTATAAAGTATGATTGTGATTAAACATGTTAATTTTCAATTCTTTCAAGCTCCATAAAACCTAAATGTGGCCTAATAATCAAGTCTAAAGCTTTATAGGTCGATAAAACTAAGATTTTTGGACGTGTATAAAGTACAATACTAGTTCTATGTCAAACAATGTCGTGTTTTTAAGTAAAAATATAATGAAAAATAAGAGAAAAATAGACTTACAAAGCGCTCATAAGCATGTACATGGCCAGCAAAAGCAGCATCAACCCTAGCATCGTAAAGTAATTGCTCCATGGCCTGTTTCATAGCCACTGATTCGTACTCACCCGAGTGAGCCTCATTGGTGTTGTACCAAGGTGCATGAAATAGCACCACAACCCACGGTGTCTTGTTCCTATCAATCTTCTTCAAGTCACCCTCGAGCCATGAATACTGGCTCGAGCCTTGATCAAAGTCGGTATAGGACCCAAGCATGATGACATGAACCTCACTTGCAACATCAAAGGAATAGTATAGGTTTGAAGTAGAGCCACTCTCCTCGAAAGGCATGTGCCATCGAGCATTGTAGGCAGTGAAGGGAGTTTTATGGACTACCGGCATCTTTTCAACCTCATGGTTTCCTTGGGTCACCATCCAAGGCCTTTGGCTAGCCAAGGGTTCCACTAGGCGCCCAAATGAGTCCCAATAAGGTTGCCAAAAGTCTGCATAAGATAAGTCTCCCGGTAATAGGAGCATGTCATACTTAGCTTGTGATATGTGTTGTAGTGTTGATTCTGTCCATCCCGTTTGTCCAAAGTCACCTATATACGTCAATTGTTACAAATTTTGATTAGATTTCATTGTTTTTGGGTAAAAAAGAAAAATTCTTGTACATCAATTAAGAAATGAACTTTCAAATTTTGAGATCGAAAAACTCTAGCTTAGACTAAGTAGAGATTTGATGTAATATGTAATGATGTGAGTGTAACCTGTAACGAGCATATTTATGAAGTCATAATGCACATGTAAAAAAAAACAATTTATTTATTTATTTATTTATTTTTAACAATAGTTCATTCATATTGTACGTGTCCAAATGTTCAATTATACAATATTTTCATGTACGTATCTAACTTTAATTTTATCTATAGAAACTGTTGCATATTGAAAGACATGTATTAATACGGAGGAATATGATAAGAATAATGTACCTATGACAACAAAATTGATGGGCAATTGAGCAGGGGCAGTCTTAAAACTGAACTCACGAGAAGCATCTTCGCTACAACGGTAATAGTAGACCGTATTAGGCTCGAGAGGGCCGAGGACGGCCTCGTGGATTTGGCCGGAGTTGTACAGAAGATACTTGTAGGTTGAAGCACTACCATCAACAGAAACATTATATGAACCAGATGAGAGACCATAGTCTACTTTAGAAGGAGCTGAATCACGAGTGATCCATGTTATTCTCATTTGGTCTGTTCCCACCTTGGAGATATGTACCTATAACAATTAAGTAGCAACATTACAACATATACTAATCTCCATTAGATCCAAGGATTTTATAATAATGTGTATTCACAACATATATATAGAGATTTCCGATGTCATAAAATAATGGATTTTTTTGTCAGAAACTACCTAATAAAAATATTTGAAAAAAAATATATACCAATGTAAAAATTAAGGATAACAATATAACATATAAATTGATAGTTGGAGGTATTCTTTTTTCATTTTTTTTCCGGACATGCTCAAATTTGTTTAGTCACACAAGGTTTCTTTTAATTGAAAACTCGATTCCATGTTTATTTCTTTTATTTACTTTTACCAATAAACCATTAAACTAAAGTTATAATTTCGATCCAAACAAACAATTGTAGCATAAATAATGCACGTATATATATATAGAGGTGCGTGTAATTTAACGTATACACTAATAAATATAAATTTATGACAGGGTGTAGTCTATTCATCTAATTTTTATTTAGCTTATTTGAATTTCATTAACTGAACTTATTCAAATTTATTTTAGTTATAATTTGAATTTATATCATAACATTTTTTTTTTCTTTTTGAGAAGATATCATAACTTCTTTTTTTTTTTTTTTTTTTTTTTTTTTTTTTTCTGAATTGAACTTATCAAAACTTATTAGACCTAAAATAAGCTAAATAAGGTGAACTGAACAAGTCCTATCCTTATGAGTATGATCATCATATACGTACATTATGAGCAACATCATAAGTATAAAGTATCCATAGTTATGCTAATCATAGTTTAATGAGTTCAAATCCATATAGATCATTGAATTCTACTACGTATGAATATACACGCACATAAGAAGTGAATTTAAACATATTTTACGCAATTTCACAACAGTAATTTTTTTGTTGCATTCGAGTACACCTAGACTCCAACAATAATTGTAAATTTAAACCATGAAATCCAACTAGTTGTTGACTAACTTTGCAGTGAGTTGTGACCTGTAACTTTCGTGTGACACTAAAAAATGTGCAATAAAGGATCTAGCAGACTATGCCAGCAGAATAGTATAATAATTCAAGGACACGTATTCGTTAGTTTGTTTATCCAATCTAAAACAACAGAGAATATCAGAATAGTGCATGTATTTGCCTAAAATTATGCATTTCACATTAACCTTGATTCCAGATTTTACACTGCTAATTATGCTAAAAATAGATTTCTTCATATATACTTCCATTTAGACTTTGATTATAGGATATACTTGAATTGTACGCTTTTGTGTACAGTTTTTATTACCAAAACGTTGCCCTAATCGATTATTTTAAAGCTCAGGGGTATTGAAATATTGGAAAACTCTATAACACAATTCAAAATTAAATTAAATTTTATGAATAAGAAATTATATTTTAATAGTATTCCAATTTAATAATTGAGCGGTAGAATGAGAATAGAAAGGAGATTGATTTGACCAATATTTACATAAAGTTGAATATATTATATATTAATTATTTTCTTAAAAAAAAAAGCACAATTATTTTTGTTGTTATATGAAGTACAATATACACCAAAATATCTCAAAATTTTGTTTTATATATTGGCTTATATCACAACTTGATTACTTGACCATTTTTATCAGCCAAACATTTACTTTAGAGGCTTTTACAGAAAAAAAGTATGAGAAATTCAATTCAGTTTACAACCATTTAAGTTTAATTCTGTGTTCTTAAGTACATTATCATACATGTTTTCATATTTATGTAATTGTAAAAGTACACACTTAACAACATTACGTAAGGAAATTCAAACTTTTTATTGTATAATAACTCCATTTGCTAATATACACCATAATAAATGTTAAACACACAATTAATTAAAAATATGTCAATGTATTCGTCAAAACATGTAAGATGGAGAAAAAAAGAATAGGGGCCGAGGTGCGGTGTATACCTGCTGAGGAGTGGTGGAGCCATAAGAATAGTCTGACGGTTTCGAAAGTGCTTCTCGTGGTGGTGGACGGGTGTACGCTGTCACTTCACCGGAAAATTCACCCCAAATGATGGCTAAGAATAGTACTAATAATACACTAGCATTTGCCATTAATTAAGATTATTATTAAAGAAATTATCTCACAATCTCTTAACAATAATGTAAGAAATAAAATGGGAATGTGATTTGGTTGATTTATGATGAAATATAGTATGTATATATAGACGTATGTGATAATGTGAGAGGAGATGTATGTGTAGTGTGGCTTTGGTTATGTAGGGTGCAATAAATATTTGTTACGTCGACAACCGATTAATTGTAAGTACTACAATCTTGCCATGCTCTCGCAACTTCCTGCCGTAGCCAAACTCTATGCGGGCTCCACTTCTTCTTGGTGTATTTCATACGCGGAGGAAAGTGTCTCTTATATACGTACCTAGTTAGATATTTTACAAATATTTAAATTGAAGTTGCGTTATATTCATCTGATTTTTATATGAAAAAGAAATTGGTTATTTCAATTTTCTATGCAGACAATTTGGACACCTTTGCAGCACTAGAAAATAATTTGTTTGTATGCTAAATATAGAATATCATTTTTGAAGATCTCTAATATATATATATATATATATATATATATATATATATATATATTTTTTTTTTTTGAAAAGCTAAAATATTTTATTAATTAAAAGTCATACGACATCTATAATAGCGATTCGACGTTAACAAATACATAAGATATTGAATCAAATAGAATATTCCTTCATAAAAACTACGATCGTCGAGTAGATCTTGCACCGCGGAGCATCTCCCGCTTATATCGCTGAAAATTACAGCCTTGTTGGAGAGACAATCTAACGATCCTTTGTTTCCATTCGAAAACTTGATAACTTTTTCACCAACGAAATAATTTCACGACAATCCATTAGATCTGCTACCATAGATTCAAAACTAAGAAATTTCTCCCTCGAAAAGAGGAGATAAACCTTGTCTTTCGAAGGAGGTCGAAAACCCCTTGTCTTTCGAAAGAGATCGAAAACCCTTTCTTTCGAGGGAGAAAAATTCACTACTAGAAAACAGGTTGATTGCGACGGAAATTTTTCGTCGGAAACACCTTGATTTCCGTCGCAAAACCCATTTGCGACGGAATTCCGTCGTAACCGGTTGTCGGAAAAGTCGTTGTCGGAAAAACACCCTTTTCCGACGGAATTTCCGTCGTAAATGGGTTTTTCGACGGATTTCAGTCCGCCGAGAACATTTTCAAGCACGGCAAAGTCCCTCGTAAAATTCCGACGGAATTGAATTCCGTCGTAAATGCCCGACGGAATTTCCGTCGGAAAATGCTTTAAAAAAACAAAAAAAAAAAGCCACCGCCACGTTGTACCAGCCACCGCCACCGCAAGCAGTCACCCCTCACCACCTACCCCCAACTCACACAACCAGCAACTCACCAAGTCACCTAACCCACACCCAACCCCACCAACCGTATCACCACCCACACCAGAACCCTACCCACCAGCCACCTACACCAGATCCACCACCCCACTACCCACCTACAACCACCACCGCCACCTAACCATATTTACCACCCCACCACCCACCTAAAATCACCACAGCCACCAACAAAAATCACCACAGCCACCACCAAAAATCATCACAATCTAGAGATTAACAAAAAAATAAAAAAAAATTAAAATCAAAATTGAAAAAAACGAAAGAAAACAACAAAATAAAACCCACAAATACCGTCTCCATCCAACAGCCACCACCCACCACCACCATAAATTGTAAAAAAAATTCCAATAAAACAACAAAATAAAATCAAAATTGAAAAAAACGAAATACATACCTTAATTAGACCACACATAACCTCGAAATTGGGTTTAAGAGGCCAAATTCGACCATAAAAACTCTAGATCTAGAATTTTCATGGTCGAATTTGACCCAAAAACCTTTGTTTTAAGCATGAAGAGAGAGAGAGTAAGGGCGAAATAGATGAATATATTGTTGATGTTGATGCCGGCGATGGTGTTGTTGATGTTGGTGTTGTTCGTTGTTCGTTGTTGATGGCGGCTATGGTGGGAGATTTGAGGGGAAAGTAGAGTAGAGGAGAGATAGAGAAGGAGAACGAGTGAGATTCAGAGAACGAAAGAAGGAGAATGAGTGAGAACGAATTGAAAGAGAACGAATTGAAAGAGAATCAGAGAGAGGACTGAGAACGAATTGAAAGAGAAGGGGAGTGAGGTTCAGAGAAAGAGAAGGGGAGGAGAGAGAAGAGGAAAGATAAGGAGGAGAAGAGGCGGAAAAGAGAGGAGTGTTATTCTAGGGTTGATTTTTTTTTTTTAAAAAAAAAAAAAAAAAAAAATTCCGACGGAAAATTCCGTCGGAAATTTCCGACGGACTAAAAATCCGTCGGAAAAGTAATTTCCTACGGAAATATCCGTCGGAAAGCCCATATATTACGACGGATTTTAATTCCGTCGGAAATTTCGTACTTTCCGACGGATTTTCTTGTCCGTCGGAACGGTTCCGTCGGAATTAAGCTGTTTTCTAGTAGTGATTCCTCCCAAAAGGAGGAAGTATTATTATAAACCTAAAAAAACAATAAAGAAACAAGGATTGGGGCTTTCCACCGATTAAAATCGATGAAAGCCCCTTCAAAATTCAACAATGGAGGCTAGGGTTTTTGAGAGAGAAAGGAGGAGAGAGAGGAGAGACAATCCAATTCTTGATCTCTAATTTATATATAGCATGTAGGTAAAACAAATAAAACAAAAGGTTCGATATTATGTAGAATTCAACAAAAATAGAATTTTGTAAAAAAATTTTATCTAAATAAAGACAAAAATAATGAGTAAAAACAATCATACTTGGGAATAATGGATAAGATTACGGAATAATTTCTTATACAGGAAAGAATTGTGGTCTTATTATTATGGTAAAAAAAATACTTATTCTTCTAAAATCATCAAGATTTTACATGAAAAAAGGTAATAAATTGTATACAATAATACAGCAGGATGAAGATGGAAATGATTTCCAAATCACATAAAAGTCTAATTTTATGGAGATAAGAGATTGACAGATTGTATATATACAACTAGTGAACTAGGATGACTATAAGTCTATAATCATGATTTCCAAATCACATTAAAGTCTAATTTTATGGAGGTAATTAAGAGATTGCATACAATAAATACAATGGGATGGATATGATCATGATTTATTTTCCAAGTCTGTCAAGAATGTGAATCCTTGGTTTGTATTCAGTGTAATCACGGTATTTATACAACCTAAAGTAAGGGCTTAACATAGCCCGTTAACAACTAAATACAATATATACGGGCCTAGCTTAACACCCCCCCTTAAGTTGGAGCATGCAAATCACAAATGCCCAACTTGCCAAGTAAATACAAAAATTGTTTCTTGCTTAATGCCTTGTAAAGATGTCCGCTAATTGATCCGTGGTCTTCACATAAGATGGTCTAATAATCCCTTCCTGAATTGCATCCCGAACATAATGACAATCAACCTCAATATGCTTCGTACGTTCATGAAAGACCGGATTCTGCGCAATATACAACGTCGACTGACTATCACAAAATAAACTCATCGCTTGCGGATGCGAAACTCCTAAACTGTCAAGAAGACCCTTCAACCACTTCAACTCATCAGTGGCCTTAGACATTGTACGGTACTCAGATTCTGCAGAAGATTTAGCAACAGCATCCTGCTTCTTAGTCTTCCATGAAATAGGAGAATTTTCAAGAAACACCAAATAACCTGTAATCGATCGTCTCGTAAGAGGACAACTAGCCCAATCCGCGTCACACCAACCTGTCAATTGTAAGTCACAATCTGATCTCAAAAGAATACCCTAACCCGGACAACCCTTCAAATAGCGTACTGCACGAAGAGCTGCCTCCCAATGATCTTGACGAGGTTGATGCAAAAATTGAGACAATATATGAACTGTGTATGCCAAATCAGGTCTAGTGAAAGACAAATAGATCAAACGACCCACAAGACGCCGATACATTTCGGGGTCTACAATAGGAGGTACCTCTGATTTTGCCAGAGTGTGGTTTTGCTCAATAGGAGTACCTGCCGGGCGCGCCCCTAATAAACCAGACTCTGCAATAATATCAAGAGTATATTTCCGTTGGCACAAAAATATGCCTTCCGGACTGCGAGCAACCTCAATACCAAGAAAGTATTTCAACACACCCAAATCTTTCATATGAAAACAATCACTCAAATACGCCTTAAAATCAGAAATCACAGACGCAGAGTTGCCAGAAATCAATAAATCATCAACATACACCAGAACACTGAGATGGACATTCCCTTGATTTAGAGTAAACAGAGAATAATCTGAATATGACTGTTTAAAGCCATACCTTTTGAGGGATCCTGCAAGTTTGGCAAACCAGCAGCGGGGTGCCTGACGTAGACCATAAAGCGATTTCTGAAGTCGAAAAAACCATACCCGGTTTGCTACCATGAAACCCAGGAGGTGGCTTCATATATACCTCCTCATCAAGATCACCATGAAGAAAGGCGTTATGAACATCCATTTGATGCAATTCCCAATTTTTCGCAGCCGCAACCGCTAAGAAAGTCCGAACTGTAACCATTTTAGCCACAGGAGCGAACGTCTCATTGTAATCAATGCCCTCAACTTGATGGTTGCCAAAAATGACCAGCCGAGCCTTTAATCGTTCAACTGTACCATCAGAATTGTACTTGATTTTATAGACCCATCTGCAACCGAGAGCCTTCTTTCCCGGAGGTAAATGTGCCATCACCCAAGTCTGGTTGTCTTCCAATGCAACAATTTCCTTCTGCATTTCTTCTCTCCACCCTGCATCTGTCATAGCCTCTTTAAAGTTACGAGGTTCAGTTCCTGCTAACACAGCTGCAAGAAATGTACGGTGTCGCAAGGAAAAATTTTCACAATTAACAAAATGTGCTATAGGATAGGGAGTACTTGAGGAGCATGGAGGAGGTGAACTAGGAGGACTCGTTGCTTGTACAGTATGTGCGACATAATTTTGTGCCAACCCGGTGGATGTCGTTCTTGAGCGCCACGCCCAAGGGCACCTTCGGTGATGTCCAAGACCGTGGCAGCAGTCTCGGTGGAGCTGGCAGCAGCCTCGGTGGAGCTGGCAGCAGCATCAGAAGCTGCAGTAGCGCTGCCAGCACCTGCTATAGTGTGAGTGGCAGTAGACGCCACGGCCTGGTCGTGGTCCTTGCTGCCAGCCACGGCCTAGTCGTGGTGTGGGCTGCCATGCTCATCCAAAGAGGTGTCCTGCCCCATGGCATCCGCAACCCCTTGAGCTATCTCACTCACCTCCAAAATTGCCTCCAAGTCATCCAAAAAATCAATATCGACCCCCACGTTTTCCACATCCA